TATCCAACATCTGCGGGTTGAAGATAACGTTTGGATTCTGAGCAGAAAATAAAGTCAACGCCTGTAGAGCTTCAGATCTCGGACGGTGCTGTGTGAACCTGTTGCACCAACAAGCTCCCAGTTACTGGTTTGACACGTAATAAAGGGTGAAAGGTTAAAAATGTTACAGTTTTGAAAATCTGAAAACATTCCTGCCACTATGTGTGAAAGAAGGCTTTCGCCTTGTTTATAGGAAGGGCTAACTCAGCTGCTTAAAGTAGAAAATGACATGGCAGCTTTTCCTGAGCACTGCTGGTCAGCTTGCAGTAGCGACCCACACGTTTCCTTTGATTCGATTAGAGAGAAATTCAGTTGTTTAGAAGTATTTTCAGACACAGAAAACTGAAAGACTTGCCTCAGTTTGAATGCGTATGTGAATGCCAAGCAGACTGGAGACTGCTTAAAAACGCAGGGCATTTTGGGTAAATTCAACCAAAACAAACCTAAAAATGGTCCATAGTCTTTAAAGAGAAATCCTACAACTGCTAAAATCTGATGTTATTCCATTTTTATTTACATTTCTGACGAAGGAAGTTGCACTCAGCGTCTCCTTCAGAGGTTTTTGTGTCGTTTATTTTAGTTGCCCTCGATGTGGCGCCACCACAGGTGAGGAGGGGAACAGACTTTTCAAAGTTTTTGACACAGTTGAGTGTGAAAGCGACTGAACTGTGTCCCCAATCAAACTGAGTCCATCTGACTTTCAGATGTGAAAACACCTTCAATGTTTGTGTAAAGCGATGTTTCTAATCAGGGTTATTCATTCATGCTTCAAACACAAAAAAATAAGGAAAACTAGTGATCCACACACGCAGTGATCAAAGCAAATTTTCCCTTAAATGTCTCTGACAAGTGATCGGCTGGTCAGTGGATTTTTGTTCTGTTCATTAAATGGTTTGAAAAAGAAAAACTCCACTAATATTCATAATGCAACATCAAACAGCGAGCTCTTTGACGCAGCAAAAGGTTAGTGATGTCTCCTTTGATGGATAAAAGGGAACAATCTTGTAAATCCTTCATTTTCTGATGGATTTAACTCAGACTCTATCAAAGAACCCACAGCACATTTCTAACAAGGCTGTTAAATTTAATTGGTGAACAATTTTCACAAAGCTTTTTATGTATGTGTTAAAGTCCTTAAAATCACCAGGTAAATGGTTTAAAGAAAACCAAAAACTGGTAAATGCTGCTTACCAGTGCCTATCTAAGAAATATATTTCTATGTTGGAACCACTTGTTTGCAGGTTTCTTTTAAAAAGAAAATCTATATAATCTCTACATTTACCTGATTGTAAAACAACGAGATGTTTCCTTTATGATTAGGACCAAAGTATTACAGAGAAATTAAAAAGTGTTTGCCTTTTAATAATCAGGATTTTTGCAGTCTCTTTAATTCCAGACCTTTCTGGTGACTTTTATCCAAATGCAAGTTTTGGTGCTCTTACATCTGCTTCCTATAATAATTAAACATGTCTAAAATCTGATTTTAGTCCTAAAATTTTCAAATTGGGTGTGCTTCTTTTAATAAGGAAAACTTGCCAAACTTTTTTTTTTTTTCTGTAAACAATTTGGCTACTTTATTTAGTTTTGTTAGTTTATTGATTTCAGGGGAAATAAAGATTTTTTTTTTTCCATTTTTATTTATTTCATTTGGCTCAAGTAGTTTTGACTCGACAAGTGTGGCCCATTAAACTCTGTAGTTTGCACAGTTCTCTCTGCAGAATCAACTCTTCAGTGAGGATCCTTGTCCAGTTTTCAGTTCCCAGACTGAGGAAGGTACTTTTTTAACATTAATACCAAAAAAAGCATGGAAGTTTCCTCTTTCGTTACTCGCCAGCTGCTGCTCAGTTCATGCTTTTTGCCCCCCATTTAAACTGACTCCTCTTTCATAAACTGCAGTGTCAGATTCCTTTCACATGGTTTGTAAACCAGGTTGTTACTTAAGAGAAGATATTTCTAAGCAAACTCAAATGTGAGGATACGACTTTCAGATCAGTGCCTCAACATTATGTAACACTGCAAAAGTCCTCATTGTAAACCACATTTTTAAAGATGAAGATCAATTATACGCCCAGCGATTTTAAAGCAGTGGTTAAATTTGGTTGTCTGAGTTTATGTTTTATGTTCCCTCTAAGTGTCAGTTTCTCTTAGGACGATTTTATGGCGACTTCAGACCCGGGCGTCACTTTTTAATTTACCATCCAGGCTTATTACTACTAACATTTCCTGCAGTGTTTAAACATTTATTCCATTACTAAACTCATACATGAATCAGTTGAGACAATCAAAATCTACCTTTTAGATTTCCAGACTGTAAGGTAGCATCGAAAATGTTCCTCTGTGAATTCAGACATGTCTGTCGATGTCCATTATGAAAAAACTCCAATAAAAGTTTAGTTGGTTTTGTAGAGGAAGCTGGTTGATGGGAAGATGGACGGAGCTATAAGTACAGCAGTAAAAACTATTAGAGGCTGCAAAAGACTTAAGCATTTCAGTGGAGGATGTTAGGATGGTCTAGTCAAAGCCAATTAAGGATCCATGATAGGGAAGTTTCTACTCAAGGGGGCTGAATATGAATGCAGAGTTTTATTTGTAAAATAAACTTAAAGGTAAATCATGTTTCATTTTTCTTCCTCTCCAGATTAAACTCCATGCTATTTTGATCTATGATGAAAAAAACCTTTAAAAAAAAAACACATTGAAATTTGTTGGCGCATGGTTACAAAATGTAATCAAATTCAAAAGGTATAAATCCTTCTGTAAGGCATTGAATATTTTTTATTCTCATTGTGTTTGTAGTAATTTGTTCACTGTTGTTTTCAAGCTACATGTGATTGGTACATTATTTCCCTTCAAGTAACAATAAAAACAGGGCAGGAGATGAAGGGAGATTTCCCATAAAGTCATTCACACCCAATCTGACAACCGAATTAGAGCAAATATTTGAATGTAAATGGGACCTGTTTGCATTTTCTGTGAAACTGAGACGACTTTTGTTGTGAATGAACCGAATAAAGCTGGACAGACCCATTAGTATGCAGCAGCTGAGGCAGGGTGGAGGGGAAACATGCCCAGTGCATCACCTCTCCTCACAAAACGTGGCGGCCATGAGAACTGATAATGGAAACCAAGAGCAAGAAAAGAAACAGCGAACAAATATAGAACACAAAGAGGCAAGAGGGACTCGACTGACTTTGGAAGATTCCTTATTCTCTTTGTTTATTTCTCTCTCTCTCTCTCTCTCTCTCTCTCCCTGTATGTCCCACCTTCCCGTTCCTACGTTTTCATTTTGTTTTTCTCCCTCCTCTCCAGCAGCAGCAGACGGAAAGCAGTGAAAAGAGCATGTGCACACCTGAGTGAAAAGAGCTTGCAGGTGCGTGGGCGGAGAGCTGTGGGAATCAAACAGGGTCTCTCTCTTTGTCTATTCTGCTCAATCTCTCGCTCCTGGGGTGTTTTTACAGGGCCTGTGTTTGTATTGGAAACTTGTGGGCGGTGGGAGTGCTTCTCGTATGCAAGCATGTGCGCTTTGTGTTTCTCGGCAGCGAGTGCTACAGCCGCTTGACTCTGGGCATGTGTTTAGAAACAACCCCAGGGTTTCGTATGACGCGGCCTTTCCTTTCCCCCCAGATCGTTCCGTCCGATACGAGACGCTCGGCCGGGCTCGATTCGATGACCTCATCGGGCTCAGCCCAACTCCAAACAAACCTTTCTGAGTAAACCAAAACAAAAATCCGCCTCTCCGTTCACAGTCGCTGCAAAGCTGGCAGTGACGACAAACAGATGCCAAGTCGCGACTGGGACAAAGCGCAGTGGATCGAGTGGCGTTTGCAAAATCCCACAAAAAAGAAGATAAAAAGTTTTTGTTCCCTTGTCATTTCTCCCTCTGCCACATTAGAACCATAAACGTTGAGATATGTCACTGAGATTTTATGCAAGAAACTAAGAAGAAGTGCAACCAGAAGCATTGATGAGTCAACATGAAGGCGACTAGCATTTAGCAAGAGTAACATTTTAGAAGAGAGGATGTTTTGTTTTTTTAGGGGATGGTTGAGTTACCTCTTTTCCAACTTTATGCACACAGTGGTCATGTGTGCAAACAGCAATCAGTCAAAATGACAGACGGCCTTGACATTTTTCTATTAATTTTTTAAAACACCAATCAAAAACAGAAAATACTCATTTAAAGCAGTCAGATGGGACCAAAAAGTGACTTTTGTGTCTGTATTCAGAGCATCACATGGCTTTTTGAAAGAGAGGGGAGAGAAACAAGAAGCTACTCAGACCTGGATGAAGTATCTGCATCAACAGACCCTAAACATGCTTGAACGGCCTTGTCAAAGTAAAAAACTTAATCCAACTAACAATCTGTGAAAAGGCCTGCAGATGAATGTTCGGAGATGCCGCAACGGGCCAAGCTGGGAATGATACAACCCAACAGACTTCCGGTCAGTAAATGGAGCAAATGATAGTCTCACAAAGTCTGAACATTTTTCAGTGCAGTTATGAGCTACCTTTGGGGTCGAACATGACTTTCCAATAAAATACAAAGAGGCTTGTGGTTGCAGTGCAGCCAAATGTGAACAAGGTCAAGAAATATCATTACTTTCTTTTGACAGAGAAGTCAAAAGAATAAGGCGGGGAAAAGATTCCCTCAGCAACAACAAGAGTTTATTTGGAGACATTTTACTGCTGGAATCCGTACGGTCATCTGGTGATTTTTGTATGATGAGCGTCCTGTAGTTTTGTGCCAGCCTGCAGACCAGATTAAACACAGATCTCTGACATAATTACCATAAACACACCCGCCCAATCTGCGTCTTCATCATGGGGGAATAAACAAACACACTCAGGCACAATCAGAAATCAACCATGCAATCATAACAACCCACCCCCCCTCTTATCCCCTCCAACCAAGCGCCACCCACACCCTGCAGGATGGCTCAACACACAACCGCTCCGCTCACCGATTATGTAGTAGTCGTGCATGCTCTTAAACTCGTGGCCCCAGAGGTTCGGCGAGAACTCCTGGAACTTGATGGTGAAGCGGCGCTCCCGTGTGGGCTCGTCGCACGTCAGCACGATGTTGGGCGTGCCCATCACCTCGCAGTGGTCCGCCTGCTCCCGCGTCGACACGAGGTAGAGCTTGTAGAACTCGTACTCCGGCGTGGAGCGGGCGGTGTCCAGCGGGGGGCAGATGAGGTCCAGCCGGTCCCCGATCTGAGGGTAGAGAACGTAGCCCTTGTCGTCACTGAACCTGGAGGAGGAGAAGCAGGGAGACACGGAGAGGGGAGTTATCAGGCGGGGGCGGTTAATTAAAGTCTTTATACACCACCTGTCTTTGCCGCTGAATGAGCAACAGATGGGTCTTTTAGCTCTCTTAGTTCCACTATGTTTTAATTTTTCTCACTTCTTAGAAAACAGGTGTCTGTAGGATGTAGAAGCTGTGCAGAAAATAGAAAAAACACTGAAAATAATCACCATACGGAACAAAAGAGGTCAAGGCATTTTCTCACTTTCATCTATGATGTATTGATGCTGTATTTTTAAACACTGGGAGTCATAAAACCATTAAAATTCCAACTTTATGATTTAAAGATAACTTAAAAAAAGCAAAGGGCAAGAAAGAGACTGTTGAGCTTTTTCAGGGGGAATTTTTAATTTTATTCACTTCCTAATTGGCAAATTTTATACATTTATCCATTAGATTGTTCATTTTTGTTGGATGTTTGAAATAACTTTATTTTCAATATACCACATGTCAGCTTACAGGCTTAAAGATTAATTAGAGCAATAATAGAGCAGTCATGATCAGATGCAGATTTTGTTTGAAATCTTTAAATATTTTAAAAGATGGGAAATAATTTATTTTCTCCACTTGCTATTCCTACTGTTTGTGAGAAGAACTGCAACCAGTGTGCCAGAATAAACACTTTCGGACCTCACCACCGGTCTGTTGCAGTTCTCCTCATCGTCTGGACTCTTTGTTGAAAGCATTGCTGGCCAGTGTCTGCATTACAGCGAAAGCCGTAATGCTCCCCCCGTGAAAATAAATCTGTTGGGCTTCACCTCAGTACAGAAACAACTCAGAGTGCTTCACTGCCAGACAGGATACGTCAAAACAGAAACATTTCGTCTAATTTTTTTTCATTTTCCCAACCTGCATCGTCTTCTAAATACATCAGATGCGCTCTCTGGAGAAATGACCAGATATGTGAATTTTTAATGAGTAATTTTGAATTGCGCTCAACAGAAAAATCCACTAATACTGAACCGCAAATATACAAACTCCCCCTGCAGATCGAATTGTGCTTAACTACCATTTGCTGCTTTATGTCTGTAATAAATTGACTCTATATATGTATTGATGTAGAGAAACTCCACCCTTAGGCCCAGAGCTGTACAAATATCACACATGTAAGTTGTCTTTATTCATATATTTTTACTTTTAAGGTTTCAAAAAGTATAGAGACACTTTACAATAAAGACTTCTCTTCTCCAAATATGAATGTATGCATAAAGTACAGATCAAAACAGCAGTTCAAAGCGTTTTATGAAAAGTTTTTTTCCTTTTTGAAGAACGTCTTCTCTTTGAGCTCATTTTCATTTTTTTCTCCAGCATTCATTTGTGCTGTGTTTATATTTAGAAGTGAGAACTGAGGCATGTCCGTGGAGGTAGAAACACAGGCAGACAACCATCTGAGCAGAGCTGCAGAACAAAGAACAACGCTGTCAGAGCCAGATCTCAGGTATGTACAGTTAATTAGTTTGGAAATAAGCAGTCTTGGTGTCAGTATGTCATCCACTCCAGGATGAAGCGTGTTTGCACAGCGATCCAACATCTGTCATCCAAATCCACAAAGTGATTCTAATTCAAGCCTCTGGACTGGAGAACGTTCTCCCACCTATTCTTTTTGATTTTAAATTAAATTAATTTCAGCTTAATGCATCAGAAGCTCAGTTTTGAGGGAATATTTCAATATTCATGTGCAGCTCTGACCTGAGCTGAAAGAAAAAGGCCAAGAACTCAAGCAGTGAGTCAGGCTGTGTCATCCCGACTCACAACACAGCACAAGGCCATCAAACCCTGATAAGGCCAAATACTGAGTTATGAACCGAGCTCCCGAGGCCGACAGTAACTCTAATTCAGCGGGTTAGCAGACGCAGCAGACAGCGGAGGAACAGAAAGAAGCACAGGGGCGTGTGTTGTGACACTTTCTCAGTTTAACTGAATGTTACAACTGAAGGAAGCAGACAAAACAGTTTGCAGCAGGAAAGATTCAAATGGGAGGGGGAAGGCGTTCCACTCTCATAAAATCCTAAGTGACACGGTGATGTGGAAGTGGGAGGAAGTGATTGAATGTTAAACTAGCCTATATTACTTTGTTTTACCTCTGCAGAAGATGCTGCTTCTGATTTTCAACAAATCCACAGGAGCACTTGGGAATCACAGAAACATGAAAAAAATAATAATAATAAAAATCCCCGCTTAATTATTCTCTCTGTTCTGCTGTCAGACAACCATTTGAGTATTAAAAGTAAACAATGCAAGATCACAAAGCACACAAAGACAATGAGGGGATGTTGCATAACTGCGCTGTCAGAAGCAGCAAATAAAGCGGGAAGTGACAGTTTTATTTGTTGAATCGAAGGGGAAAAAAATAAAAAAGCAATTTCACCTTTTAGCCTGACCTGTCACAATTATTTAGTAATTTCAGGATTGCAGTCATTTAGTCTTGCTAAAGCCATTTAGCATAATCCGAGGCATTGTTTCCATTCACCCGTAAAACAACAAGTGGAGGCAGATAACAGAAATGATTCATTTATGCCTCTCCTTCCCGTCCCCCTTTATGTAGCTTTATGGAGCCATCTGTTTATTTCAAAGACTTTCGCACCGTGCGTGTGAGAAGGAGAATATTGTAAACAGCAACATATAATAGTTTACTTTAATTGGAATTTTCTGAATATGGATGAAGATTAAAAGTCCAGGATTACAAGATTTTTGTCAGAAACTGGTAAAACAAGCTAACAAAACTGGGTTATAGCCTTCAAACATTTTTTTTCTTAAAGAAAACTTTTGTAACTTTCTTTGGAAGCCAAAAATAATCATAGAAGTTCACGATTAAGAACATTACGAGGCACTGAAAATGAGACAATTTGATTTTTGGTAATAGAATTAGATAGAAAAGCAAGAACTTTTTCACAGGCAGTGCCTTTCTCATTAGTTTCAGCTGTACAGACTGCAGGCATAACTCACTAATTTAATTTCGCTCCTAGATAAACTGGTCTGCTGCTGTTTTTAGGAACCGCAGCTGCAAAAAGAGAAAAAAAAAAGCAAAAGAGAAAAAATGTACTCGGTTTTTAGTCCTTATAACATCCACTCTTAATAAACCTGACTATTTTCTCCTATTTTATTTATGTAATAAGGGCTGGAAGATAATAATTACTAAGAAAAAGGTTTTATGTGTGTTTACAAAAAACCGAAAGCATAAGCATTTTACCTGTGTAAAGTATTTTGTTTAACTGTTTCAAGTTATATCACAACTGCTAAATTCACCAGCATGTTTTCCTAATATTATGCAGCACAAATTAGAGGGAAACTGGGATCAGATCCACAACGAATGCGGAAAATGTTTAATACATTTTTAGTTTCATGAGAATTAAGCTATTTTTCTTTCTTTTTCCTTAATTAATTTACCAAAATGCAAATAAAATGATATGCAAACGTTTAGGTCAGGGGTCTGCAAGTTTTGCAATTCAAAGAGGAATCTTTGACCTGAGTCCAGCTAAATAAAACTAGTTTAGAGTTTAGAGTTGCATGAGTTTTAGAAAAAGGATAAGGTGGGAAGGAGGAACAGATTAAAATCATTTTGTTTCTATTTTTAGGTTAAAAGAAAAGGAGAAAGAAACAAACTGTTTACAAAAAGAAAATACAATGGGACCCCTGCATAGTTTCTGTTCAGAGATGATGGATTGTTTTATGAGATGTGACTCTTACATATTTAGAGAAAATTTGAAGATTTTTTTCAGATATCTAAAATGTTCAAAAGAAAAAGCAGTTTAGGAAGTTGCTGCTTGACATGCTATTAGCTGTCATTTGCCGAGCAGCCAATCCAGACGCAGCATCATCAACTGCACAGCGAACTGGACAACATCTCTCTGAATGAACATGGTCCTTTAGACTTTAAGCAAATTCCACCACTTTTCAGATTTGCAGCTGGAACTCCATGAAATAGCGGAGAGCATCATTCCCAGATCCGAGGTAAACAGAAACCCCCTTTAATCTTCCGCTGTGCCCCCGTCCTCCCAACCACATCCATCAAGGTTGCAGTTCCCTCCTATTGCTTAGAGTCAAAAGACCTGCTGCTACAAAATGAGATGCAGCCGTTATCAGCAGGTGTGTTTGGCTCGAGGCGGGCGCTCAGAGCGCGGCGCGAGCGGGCGAGGAGCGTCGGCTCAGACCGGGCCCCCGAGGCCTGCTGGGAAAACCACTGTTCCACTTCTCATTACGCAGGTCACTGGGGGTTATCGGGCCATACTTGGGCTGGAGAGGCGAGGCGCTCAGCTTCACTCAACACTTATAAACACAGACATATCTCTCCTTCCTGTCGGCTTCAAACTGGCATTCGCACCATTTATAGACTCTGAAATGTAAACATGATGGTAGATCCTGAAGCTTCTGCAGCCATGAAAAAAAAAAAATCTGTTTAACTGGTAGGCTACACACACACACACACACATCCCTGGTGCTGAACACAAAAGGTTTGTCCAGGCTTATCCACCCACATTCACACACAGGTTTGGTTTTCTCCAAACCTAAACAATGAAATCAACTGGCACCCACTCTTATGAAAACAAGCACCTTTTTGCTTCCTGCATGACACATTGTGTAAGCTTTATCTGATGGTATCCTGAGTCACAGCCGAGCTGCGCCGCAGAATGGCAGAACAAACACGCGCTTGCATGCTCACAGGGCAAGTGTTGAGAGGTAAAGAAGCTTCTGGGCGGCTTTCAGGTGGAAGACGGAGAGAAAAGAAAAACAAGCAGGAATCAGTGGAAATATGGTGGAGGGGAGGAAAGAGATGTGGATTCTGAAGAGATTCACGGCATCCATGTTCAAAGTATTGGATTTACTGTGATAACCTAGGTTAACCTAGCTGACATGTGTTTGTGTGTGAGAGTGGGTGATAGCAGCTGAGTGCACAGCAAACAGGATGAGGTTTGGAGACCTTGTCCCAATCTAATAAAGCAGCGCAG